TGGGGGTGGGATGGGTGGGTGAAGTCACGGGTCTGATCGTTTCAGGTTCTCTCCGTGACCCAGTCAAATGGCCTTCTTAGAAAAGTGTCTTGAATGTCTCCGTGGCTGCCAGTGTTTGAAGTGGTGGGCCTAGGGCTCCAGACCCAGAAGATAAGTCTTGATTCGTTTAGTCTTTGTATTTGCCTCGAGTTTTTGAGGTCTGGGGCTCGACCTCCAACATTTCTTTCAAGCCACAACAGCTACATGCCAGCCTCTCTTTTAAATTAAACTTGAAATCCTCACAATCCCACAGTCCCAAGAGTCAGGCAATTAAAAAAATATATATCATAAGGCCCATAAAATCAGAAGAGCTGGCAAGCCTGTGGCTCCTCCCTTGTTCCCCAGTAAACCACAGTAGAACAGGGAGAAAAAGTAAATGCTTGGTTTTCCTGGCATTTTTCTGTCTACGTTTTCCTGCAGAGGTTTTCCAAGTTGCTGCAGATTGTTTTTCTCAGAACCTAGATGGATGAAGAACTGCAAATACTTGTATGGAGGTCCTGGGCCTGACTTGTGTCCCATCTTGGCTAAGTAGATGATTTCAGGTCCCTAAAGCCAGAGTCTCCTGTCATCATGCACATTCACTGCTCAGGCTAGGTGAATACAAGATATTCTGTAGGGAAGAAGTCTTCCACTGTTTCCTCCCCTTTCCTTTTGCTTGTACAAAGAGAATTGAAGCTTCAGTAGGCCAGCAAGAGATGCATGAACCTTGTGGTTAGGTCATGCATTTGAGCATGACTTCAGATCTCTTCTGGCTCAAGAGCACTCTTGACTTCAGGCCTCGTATCCTGAGACAGTTGTCTATCTGTTGACCTGTGTCACCTTCTCAAGAAGAAGGATTGAGTCTCCTTATACACATACCATTCCTGGGAAAGAAGGGGCTTTTTTTTTAAAGAGCATTTAGAGAGAAGCCTTAGGCTGTGAATCCCAAGCTGAAGAGGATGTCTTCTCCTGATGTGCATTGAAACATTCACAACTTAAAGGATGGATAGACTTCAAGAGAGTTCCCTTAGAAGTATTCTATTTAGTAGGGTTAAGCAGTTACTTTTCCAGCATATCAGTCAGCTCTTCACAGTCCCAGATCTCTCCCCCCTAGGAAGGTCTTGTGGATGGCTAATTCTGTGGTCTAGACCTCACTCCAGGCACAAAGAAGTTTGGTGTATCAGCTGCCTAAGACCATTTTTTGCATTTTGTTCCCATTCTAGCCTAGAAGACCTCCTGCTCTCTCTCCATGGAAAGGCAGCCAAATCCCAGCAAAACTGGGAATACCCATAGCACCAGAAGGCTTGGAGAGAAGGTAGCCATTTTGTTGTACTTGTCCCATCCAACAGAGAACTGCCTCTGCCTTTCTCTGTTTCCAACCCTCATTAATTGGAGCCTGGTGCCCTCCCTAGAGTCTGCATCCAAGACTTAGAAGGATGCAGCTTACCCCTGTGCCATGGATGACAGACCCACACATGCAGTTTTCCATCCACAAAAGTGACACAAGAACTTTCTTTCAAAGACATTGAAAAATGTCAAATGAAATTATACTATCTATCTTTCTTTTCTGCAGCTCATATTATTTCACCTTTAGTAAAGGCTCACAGGCATCTCACTTGTCAGGAAGCCCTGTACCATGTACATGATACCATGTGTACCATGAGTAATTGTGGAAGATCTGGCTCATTTTCTGTATGGTGAAATCAAGCAATAGTAATCGTTACTGTTTTCTCTTTGAAATTAGCAAGGCAGATTCCCTGTTATTCACAAACATTCCGTAGAGGAACTGGGGAAAGAGGTGTGGTGGTTTTTCTTCTTTGTAAGTGGAAAAATATGATTGTGAAATTAGAAGAAGCTGCCAGGAGAAATCAGAGGTAGCGGTAGTTCCTGAAGTTATTTTAATGTTTTGGTATTGTATTAATGACTCGATTTTTAATGACTCAGTTGGAAGTTAAGAAACTTTCTAGATCTGATGCTATTTAAGACAAATCTGTATACTACAAGTTTCAAGGTGATAAAGCTACAGATGGTTGGTATCAGTTATCCTTTTTTTATGGTGAAATATGCTAATTTTAGTATAAATACCCCCTAGACAAATGACTGTTCAAATTACCCTACTAATTCTGATCTGCAGAAAATATGCTATCTATGCATCCTGTCCCATCATGAGACCTTCCTTGTAAAATATCATAGCTGCTATATTTTATAATGAGACTTATCTGCATGTAGTACATACATGCAGGCCATTTGTTTTGTTTCCTGCCTTATCTCTGGTTTCCAGAAAACTGAAGGACAGATGCTGGAACGCACGCTGTTTATATTCTCAGTGTAGGATTTTGTCATTGATTTTAACAGCAGCAGGGCTGTGCCTTTTAACATTAATACTTTGGAAAGTGAGAGAGGAAGGTTTAAGTCTCTCCAGATAGTAGACTAGTTTCAGTTTATCTTAGTTTATCTCGGTGTTTAGTATTACTTAGGGAACAACATATCTGCTGTCTAAGTCAGAAAAAACTTCTTGGGGCATGTAAATTCCAAACGAAAGTGAGAAGCCCAGCTAGGACTTTTTCATTAATGAGAGTTTCCTGGAGCCATTTAGTCTTGTATTTAAGGGTGTGTTGGTTATTTATGGCAGAGAAAAGGAACGGATGTGTTGATGTTCTAGAACTTTTCCTTTGTGCATTGTTTCCCATTTCACAGTTGTATTTGGCACCCACTTTCCTCCGGCCAATAAAGAATATTAAAGAACTTCCTTTGCTGAGAAGTTATGCACACATTTTACAAACCATACAGTTTAAGCAGAAGTGTGAGAGGTAGTACTTCTACCAGCATTTATAAACACCAGAGACTGTAAATATATAATATTGCCAGCAAAGGTCTGCCAGTGATTCTTTTTGTGGACTATCCCTGTTTTCTTTAAAAAATGATTATATAATGCAACCAACACAGCAAATTTGAGCCTAACTGAATGTATTCAGGAAAGCCAATAACAAAACTCACTCTGGCTGTGATAAGAGCAGGAGTAGCCTCATTTCATGCCAAGAATAACCTCAAGTACAGTGGATAGTGCATGTGTTTTGGTGCACTCGCAAAGCAACAGATCTTTCCTATGAGGTCTCAGTGGAAGCATCTCTGTGTTGTCAAGCTGGCGCAGAGCTATTCTTGGAAATGAATACACTGACCCCAGAGAAATAAATTCTTTGTAATTAGTATTTTTCAAATACAGAGAATTTTCATCATTAGGCTTGTAAACCTGGTGACATGTTGGCAATATATTGCTAAAGGGCTTCAAAAGTTCCCTGGTCTCCCCTGTATGCAGGAAAACCATAAGGTCTATTGTGGTTTTTGTGTTTGCAGGGAGAAGCAATGAAGGACTTTGATCTACTGACCTGCACTAACTTAGATAGTGCCATGAATGTAAAAAGAAATGGAAAGAAAAACACTACTTGCCAAAACCAATTAAATTTAAGGCACTTGCATTCCTTTAACTGGAAAAAAAATCTACCTCAGATGCCTGAAAAATACATGGTGTGAAAATACTGCATTCGCTACCAGTAATAAGGCCTTTATGGTCAGCAGAGAAAGTAAGGTTTCTCCCATGCAGCACAGAGATGCTAGCAGGTGGCTCTCACTGCCCCACACTGCTAAGCGTCAGGATCTTTGTGTCCAAGTGGTTTGACCAGGGTCATTTGTGTGTAGGACAGAGGACAAGGGGCACTAGCTCTTGAGTCCTCATGAAGCATGTTTGGTCAGTCAGTCTTGACTGGCAACAACAAATAATTCTTTTGAACATGTATTTTATATCTTCCTGAGTCGAGCAGTTGTTATACAACTCAGACCCTTTCTTGCCTTACCCTCCAGGAAACTTTGGAAAAGTTTCTGCCCACTGCCGTATTCCCTCATTTTTCCATCTTTATGGCTACTGTCTGTCTTCCTCTTGGGAAGATGTTACCTGAGCCCATGTTATCAGAGCATGGTTTCGAGGGTGACAAGTTGCCTATGTTATGGCTTTATTAGAGTAAGAGGACTGAAATTTTGGTCTTGTCTTGTGGTCTTGATGTCACAGTCCTCACTGTTCCTTGATTTGACTGCTGTTGTTCATGTCCGTCATGTCCATTAATGCTCATTCTTTCCACCCTTGCTCTAGTTCTTCTGATGCTTCCACGTGCAGGCATTTCCCTTTGTACTTCATTCAGACGAGTCTTCATACTTCAGTTACAAATGTCTACAGTGGCTACAGATTCACAGATTCACAGATTCGACAGAGTTGGAAAGTACCTCTAGAGATCATCTGGTCCAACTCCCCTGCTAAAGCAGGATTGCCCAGAGCACATCACTCAGGACTGCATCCAGGTGGGTCTTAAAAATCTCCAGAGAGGGGGACTCCACAACCTCCCTGGGCAGCCTGTTCCAGGGCTCTGTCACCCTCACCCTAAAGAAGTTTTTTCTCATATTTGAACAGAACTTCCTATGTTCCAGCTGGCGCCTGTTGCCCCTTGTCCTATCGCTGAAAACCACTGAAAAGAGTCCGGCTCCAACATCCTTCAACTCACCCTTTAGGAACTTGTAAACAGAGATGAGGTCTCCCCTCAGTGTTCTCCAAGCTAAAGAGCCCCAGCTCTTAGAGCCTTTTCATGTAAGGGAGGTGCTCTAATCCCTTAATCATCTTGGTTGCCCTAAGTTGGACTCTCTCCAGTAGTTCCCTGTCCCTCTTGAACTGGGGAGCCCAGAACTGGACACAGTATTCCAGTTGTGGCCTCACCAGTGCAGAGTAGAGGGGGAGAATGACCTCCCTCGACCTGCTGGCCACACTTCTCCTTATGCAGCCCAGGATTCCATTGGCCCTCTTGCCAACAAGGGCACATGGCTGGCTCATGGAGATCCTGCCATCCACCAGGACTCCCAGATCCTTTTCCTCAGTAGTACTTCCCAGAAGATCCACCCCTAATGCCTAACCCCTATATTGGTGCCTGGGGTTCTTCCTCCCCAGGTGAAGGACCTTACATTTGCCCTTGTTGAACCTCATTAGGTTCTTCTCTGCCCAGTTCTCCAGCCTGTCCAGGTCACGCTGGATGGCAGCACAGCCCTCTGGAGTGTCGGCCAGCCCTCCCAGTTTGGTATCATCAGGGAACTTGCTGAGGATACACTCTGTCCCCTCGTCCAGGTCACTGATGAATATGTTGAACAGGACTGGGCCGAGTATTGACCCCTGGGGACACCACTGGTTACAGGCCTCCAACTTGACCCTGCTCCGTTAATGACAACCCTCTTGAGTTCTGTCACACAGCCAGGACTCAATCCACCTCACTGCCCCTTCATCTAGCCCACACTTCCTTAATTTTCTAATGAGGATGTTGTCAGTTCTGGGACAGTTAACTAATGCCTGAGAAGGGACCTACTGCTGAAGTTCCTCTGCTAAATCAACCTACATGCTGTAAAGCGATTAACAGTTGCCAGCCTGCTTCCCCATCTAAGCATTTGTACCATTTGGTAGCTGATTATACTGGCAGTGTGAAGTTCAGCACATGCTTAATCATCATGTTGGATGCATCCCCTTGCTGACTCCCATACAGTAGCATGAGAAGTCAGTCTTCAGGTCAGTGAAATAAGATACTGCATAGTTCTTGGAAAGAAATGAAGCTAAGTATAAATTTCTTAAGAAACACCAACAAATGGTAACAATCTTACTAACTGTGGAAGGGTTGGTGGAACCAGTCCTAGAACTAAGGCTGATTTATGGATATGAAATTGAAGAGGCTTACTTTGCACAGTAGTGAAAGGGCCTAATTATATCATGAAAAAGGATTTATGAGAGTCAGAAGCTAATTTAGATTTGTAATAGCCAGAGAAGCATGGAAATCCGCAAATAAAATATACTGAGAACATCTCAGCCATTCATATACTCTTAATATTGCCAGTCCCTCCATGGGCTCCCCAACATCAGTGTATCACATTCAAACATACTTTCTTGCTTATATTTAGGAGTTCTTGTCACTGTGGTTTTGGCTCTGTTTCCAATGCAGTGCCACTCATACCTTTCTGCTCACCTATTTATCAGCTAGATATTGCCATGCTTTCTCTGTTTCTATGGGATCCCATGAAGAAATGTCCCCTGTACTACAAAGCTTAGTAAGTTGATGCTTCAGATTTCGTGTGCTTCAGTCCATGGCCTGAACATGTCTGATGAATGTCGGATGAATTTGAAGCAACCTAAGCTGTTATGAACTTTACATGCACTCCAGAGCTGATCTCTACATCAACAGGAGCCATTTGACCAGAAAACACGTAACTCAGCTGAGCTGTCAGCTTCAGTGAATTCTGAAAAAGTGGCTAGAATTTTCAAAATTCTCCCTGCACAAAGTTTCCAGGCAGCAATACCCTTTACCACCCCTGAACCATATCCAGGGAAAGAAATATGCCTTCTCCTGTACTATCCTTGGACTGAGCTGTAAGCCCAATCGCTGCTTGGAACCAAATTTCTGTGCATCGGCATAAAAGCAGCGAGACAAAGGCAGTTCATCCAGAGAGGAGGTGGAGATATATAACAAATGCTTTTCAGGAGTTCTATATTTACATCGTTAATGGCACTCCCTCCTATCAGTCTTTCCATGTCATTTTTCAGATGTGGGATTCAATACTGCTTAGCACAGTGCAACAGAGCTTGGGATATTATAGCATTAAATAATGTGCAAATAAGATACCTTAAGGTGTGGCCTTGGAGGACACAATGGCAAAATCCATTTATTAGAAGAAACTTTATCCTTTCTGGGCCTGACTTTAGAAATATTATTGTTTGGTGTGTCTCAGCCACTCTGGTTAACCACAGTTCTTTTCCAGGCTAATAAAAGGTCTGTATTTGTGCATACACAGAAATTCTAACTCTAGTAAAGATGATAATCACAGCATATTTGACAGTCAGGTTGAAAGATGTTTTCATAAAAGCAAGCGCTTGTTTGCATTAGGTTAAATTTGTGGCAAATTCTGTGCCCATTCCAGGAGTTTCCATCAAGGTGGACCTATTTTTGTCCTCTGTTTTTATTTTTATACAAAAACATCTCTACCGATGACGTGCAATCCTAACCTAGTACCCACTTAATTACATATCTGTGTACATCCTCACATCCTCCTTTCTGGTATAACAAGCACCTTTTCTTTCACTAGTTTGTGGATTGATGACAATCTCAAAATGCCTCTGCACATCCCTTGTAAAACCAAAGGAGCTGCCCGCCCAGGGAATGATGTGTTGAAGTATCAGGGCTGCAAGATTAAGATTCTTCAGGCAGAAAACTATTTTCTGTAAAACACTTCTTAGAACATGTGTGGACACCACTGGAGACACCAGAAATGTACATACATGCTGGAAATCGTGTGACTGAGCATGCTCTGTCTTGTTCCCCATCCTTGCCAAGCTGGGTGTCTAGGCAACTTCCTTCCTCACTTGGGTCACCTGAGATGCAGAGAACACCCATCCCTGTGTCACAGAACCCCATTTGCCAGCACTGAACTAAAACTAACTCACATTCACACTTGGCTCTGTTCAGTGCTCCCTGAAGCTCACCAGGGAGGAGGGAGCCTGCAAAACATGTTCTTGAGACAGATACTGTGAGTGCGTGAGGCACAGGCTGAGTTAATACTGGTCTAGATTAGGGTTTGGCAGGTACTTTTTCTGCCATCAGTATGAACTTGAGCATCCACTGTGTTGCATCTGTGCATCTATGATCCTCTACTGCATGCTATTAGCATAAATCTTTGCACACATCCACACAGTAAGACAGATCAAGGGAAAAAAATTTTTTTTTTTTTTTTTTTTAATTAACTTCCCCTCAAGATATTTTTTAACTGAATAGTTTCCCTGCTGTGAATTACACTGAACACAAACATCAAGCCACTGGAAGGCCAGTAGGAGGTAGGAATAAAGGAGGAATAAACAGCCAAGGGCAAAGGTTGAAGGGCTATAGAGCTGGAATAAACAGCCAAGGGCAAAAGTTGAAGGAGCACTCCTGCCGTGTGTCAAACCACAGTCCTGGGCTCTAGGCTCTCCTTATTCTGGGAGAGGTGGTGAGTTCAGCCTTCAGCTATGTGCCTTAGCCACTAGACTGGAGTATTTCAGGCATGGCCAGGGACCCAAGCACGCTTGCAATAGCTGGGATAGATTGGCAGTAGGAACCTGAGGAAACCAGCGAACTTGCCTTTTGTCCATTGGCTGAAGCAACACAGTGACAGCTGAGGGAGCAGAGTTGTGTCCCTTATTGCAAAGATGTCTGAACTCTGCTCCTTGTGAGCCCACATCTCAGCATAAGAGCAATGCCTATCCTCCACAAACCTCTATAACCAAGTCATTGGGTACCCACTGGAACATGGAAACTACCTTGCCTGGGAGAAGTATCTGACTTTCAGGAGACCTTACATCCAGGAAGCCTTTATTACGCTCCTAATTCCAGTTCTAGCAGTACTTCAGTGGAGGCCCAGTAAATATGTCTGGTTTTGGCATGCTGGCTGTTGCAAACTCCAAGTGCTGAATACCTCTTGAGCCTGTACCTCTTCCCTGTTTTATGCATGGCACTGCTGTGGAATGCAGCCTGGACATGAACATGCATAAGTTATGGGCACTGCAGCACTCAATGTTTTAGTGTATCTCTTACTTTGGTTAGACTGCTAGCTCTCCTTCATTTAAAGGAAAATTGGGAACTTGAAAAGCCCAGACACACCCTTTGCTGAACCTAAAATACATAATTACATATCCATGCAGGCATCTAGTGAACAGGGGGAAAGGCTCACAGGAAGCAACCTGCTGAGCGCTTGTTCTAGCCAAAAGGAAATTCCTGTTGTCTCATTTCTTTTCTCAGTTTTGCTTTCCTATATGGCTCTGTAGGTTGAGGTTTTGTTGTCTTCCCCCTTTTGATATGCACCAAGAAGAAGCAATTCCACCACGCCTGGTTCTAGACCCCTGGCCTTATATGTAGTCTTCATTCTCATGCTTGTAATTAGCAAGACTCTCTGAAAGTCTTGAACTTTAAGATGTAGAATACACATATTGTGTGAAGTCACATTTAGATGTAGTCTCTCCTGGCTTTGAAGGTGACAGCACTAACATCAATCTCTTTGTTGTTATCTTGTGCTACCTACTCACAATCCTCAGGCCTCCCCAACTGGCACTTACAGCCTGAGACCCTCTCTCGGATTTAAACGGCAGAGAGTTTTTCTCTCTGAAGTCACATGATGATGAAGTAACAACAGATGCCATCCACTGCAGAGATGGTTAAAACCTTGTTTGGGAAGTGGGAGTGCTTGGGTGCAATGGGCAAAGGTGCTCCAGAGGATGTTCCCCATGTCCACAGGGTGCTCTGACCACC